GAAATTTTCACGGTATTAATTCTTCTAATCCATGAACATTGGGCATCTTACTATCATTTTTTTTTAACAGATTTTTTTTTAAAATCAGTACCAGGGATCAAACTCATGATACCCTGTTTGCAAGGCAGGTGCTTATGCCACTGAGCTAAATCCCCAGCCCCACCATCATTTTTTACCTTCTTCAATTTCTTTTATCAGTACTTTGTAACTGTGTTATTTAGCTTTTTGTCACTGGGCACACACAATATAAAGAAGAAAAGGTTTAATTTGGCTCACAGGGGAATTGAGTCTGCCGTTGGCTGACTACAAGGCACAAACATTTTGGTGGAAAATCATGGTGGATCAAAGATGGTGAGTTCATGACAACTAGGAACCAGACGAGGGGATGGATGCTGGAGAGGACTGTGCCAAGGAGCATATGTATACAGTCATAGCTCGGTTAGTGAATTTAATTCTTCCTACAGTTTTGGTTGCAGACCAAATTGGATGAGACCCAAATCAAAATCAATGGTTAGTTTCAATGTCAACTTCATGGAGATATTTGATTTGGTTCTTGTCTAATTCAGTTTGCAATCAACTGTGAAATGAATTAAGTTTGTGAACCGAGGTATCACTTGTGGTAGCCAAGATCACAAGGTTTACATGATCCAGCTAGACACACCAATAGGCATGTTTTACTATTCTGCTAGGCTTTGCTTATTTAGTGAACTAGATAAACCAGAATTAATGGTCACAACCAAAACACGTCTTCTTCAATCACACTTAATCTCTAAATAAAGACAAAATTATGAACTTTTGCCTAACATAATACAGCTATCCAGTATATGTCTGAAAACACAATGATCCCACCTGCAAAGTCCCAGCTGTTCCAGCATTCTTCAAAATCCCAAGCCCAAGTCTTTTTTGAGACTCAAGGCAAACTCTTAACAACAAACCTGTTAAAAGAAAACAACCAAACAAACAAGCAAGCAAAAAAAAAAAAAAGCCCAAGTTACATAATCCCAAGGAACAAAGGTACAGATTGTATATTTCTATTTTAAAAGGGAAAAATAGGGGGCTAGAAAAGAGTAGGATCAAAGCAGATCAAACATTAAATTCTGTAGGTCCATGTCTAGTATCTGTGGTACACAGAGATAAAATACGAGTTCCAACGGGCTGGGATGTCCCCACCCCCTTTGCCTTGGCAGCTATGGCCCACATCACCTCTCTTTGGGGCTGACTTCACTCATGGCCTGCAGCTTTTCTTGGCTAATATTCCGCATTCCTGGCATATTCAAATTCCTGTGATCTCTGCTGGAACTTTGGCTTTATTTTCACAATTTCACGTACTTCCCTCTCAGGCATACACTACCTGGCCTCTTAGACCTTCCTCTGAAATATGTATAGAAGCCTCCCTGAATCTCCAGTTCTTGCATTCCACAAGTCTGTAAAACCAGCATGATTGGGGCAATGTCCTCTGTCAATAGAAGCAGTGGCCAGGACCTCTCAAGTTATAGCTACAGCATCTTCCCAATGTCTGGATGGCTGTGCCTGGTTAAAGAATCCAGTGAAACAATCTCCAGAAGATTCTGATTGGGCTGGAGGTCCAGGGATTCTCTTCTCAAGTGAAACATTTACTCCGGAGCCTGTAATTAGTGGGATCTTTGTTTCTTGCTTTTAGACAGTGTCTCACTATGTAATTCAGGCTGACCTTGAACTCATAATGTAGCCTAGACTGGTCTTGAATCTCTCCAAAGCAGGTCCCATGGGTGGATTTTGGCTGCTTAACTGAGTGGGCTGCAAGCCTATGGGGGGACAGTGAAGCCCCACACAGCAGGGAGGACCACCAGCATGTGACATGGAAGAGTATCTGGACTCTCCACTCTCTTTCCCTCTCCATGCTGTGGAGTCTGGGTACAGATGCTGGGTATTTTATTTTTCTTTCTGTGCTGCTGTCTCAGTCTCTTGATCATTCAAGCTTCTGGTCTCTCGCTTGCTGATTTCCAGCGTTCCCTCAGTCTCCTCACCATGTGGCTTCTGTTCTCTATAAGAAGGAAGCCCAGCCAAGCGCCTGAATTCAGCTATTTCATCCTTCCAACCTTTAGTCTCATTATCTACACACTCAGTTTGTCCCTGTTTTCATTTTACATACTCAGGGAACATATAAGAGTAGTCAAAATATTTAAGAAAAACAATTCTGCCGTGGCGAATTCCTGTTTATCACCTGCCTTTGTCAAAAACTAGTTCTCAGAAAGGTGAAATCATAACTCTGGTATAAATATAAACTATACATGTGGAAGGAATTTTAACTCATGCGTTAATGAGTGGGCAGGGAAAATATTATACTAGTTTCAAGGCAAATCTCGAGAGCAGATATATTTATACATAGACAAGAACATGAACAGGATTTGCTTAGAGATCTAAAATGAGGTAATACAATGCACTGAAGGGTAATGTTTGGAATAATAATTTCTACAGGGTTGAAATCAATTCTGTCTCTTCCAAGCAAAGTTAATTTGCATGCCTGACTATAGGAGCCATTTGTGTTACTATTAGTTCCCACATCTTTCAGACTTGTAAAATAGACAAACTTAGTGGCCTAGAGATTCCCTGTAGATTCAGCTCTATCTCCTAGAGATACAGCCTTCTTTAGAGTGTTTGTTATACCACATGCCGTGCTTTTTTGATAGGATAATCAGATACATGCTTCCTTTTGGAAATCTTTTGCTATCACAGGGAGACTCTAGTTCCACTGTAAGCAATATCCATTCATTAGGAAACAAATTGAAACTTCAAGAAGAAAACTCAAACAATCAATTTATTAAATATCTTTGCTGCATTAGGGGTCATGCATATATTAAATTTCAATTCAGTGCATACAGCTAGATACTCAGAATCACACGCATTTTGATTGTCTTCATGGGTGTTAGCCAATGGCTTTCCATGACAGTAATTTGTACTTAGCCAGGTAGCCACATCAGGAGTCTCTCAGCCACCCACAGCTTCTATAAATTCACCAAATGCCCACTAGACCCCAGGGAACCCTGAGAAGGAACAGAACACCTTCCAGAAATTCCAGTGCTGATGTTGCCCTAAAAATGTTCGATGGCATCAAACAACAGAGGAGTATGTGGCTTTGATAATGTGTCAAAGTCCAAGCAAAGGCAGAAGCTAACCCACGTGTTGGGACAGCAGCTCTGAGTGAGGCCCTCATTCCCTCTGCTCTTGATCACCGGGGAGCTGGGAAGGTGCAGGACCAAGCAAGACTCACAGACAGCAGACCTGCCCTGCCGGGATCTCCCGGAGTAAACGCCGACCTGGGAGAGCCTTCTTTCTCCCTCCTGTCTCCATCCTCTTTGCCTCCCACGTGTCCTGTCTTCCTCCTTTCTCTCTTTCCTCCTCCCCGGTTCCTCCTCCTCTTTCCCTTTTTATGTTCACTCCTTTCTATCTCTCCCGCTCACCTAGCAGTAGTTTTATCTTCCAGCTTTACTAACCGGAGTCCTACCTCTCTTAGGCATGGCTCAGGCTTCATTTTCAGCATGGAGGACACTGTTCCTTCTCCTGATGTGCCTGCATGTCAGCAGAGAGGTACAGCATGTGGAAACGGTGGCATTTAAATAAACAGTGAGCCACAGCAGTGTCACCTGTGACCTGGCTCCTCTGTGTCTACCAGAGTTTAAACTCTAAAACCCTAACAAGAATCTTGATCCTTTGAGCTATATATTTTATTTTTCCCCTGAAGGTATCTATAACTAATAATGCTCTTCCTATTAACCTTGAATTTATAGGAATCCAACACTGCTGGGGCCTCGGTCTTAAAGCTGCAGCAGACTCAGTGCAGGAAGTCACAGTGTAAGCCCCAGCTCAAGGCAGAGGGGCCTCAGACAGACTTCCTGCTTGGAGTGTTAGGAGAGGCAAGCTCCACCCAGGAAGAGTCCTATAGGGCACGGACTCAGAGAACAGCATCTGGCTGTGAGACTCCAGTGCTGAGTATCAAGAGCAGGACGTGATTCCCAGAGCAAAGCCATTAACAAGAGAAATGGGAAGGAGAGGCCCAAGGGGAAAAGGAGGAGAGGACAGGGGATGGGCTGCAGAGAGTGTGGGAGAGACCAGCCTGTGTTGCATTTAGCCTCTGTCCTTAACTAGATGTTAAGCATGGGAATTGGGTCAGGAAGACTGCATTTGGTGAGGACCGCCCAGGTGCTGGGAGAGAATGTCCCGGGTGAGCTGGGAATCTAGCGAGGAGACCATGGTGAGGCTTTTAAGTGTCATCACCACAGCCCAGCATTCCCCTTGCACTGCTTCTGTGGGTGTAGTTGTTCAGCGGGTGACCCCCACCTCTCAGAGCAAAGCAGGGGGAGGCTACTCTCCTCAGCCCTCAGTCTCCCTTCCTCCTACAGCCGTGCTGGTGCACCCTGCTCAGCTGCAGAGATCTGGACTCCCAGGACCCTGCCTGAGAGTTCATGCTCTGCTGTTGCCATCTTGAAAGTTTTAATTTTTGAATGAGGGGCTTTTCATGATCATCTTTCATTGCAGCCCACAAATGATGGGGAGGGTCTCGTTCCCAGCAGTCTACAGTGGAGCCCTGAGACAGTTCTTGAAACCTGAGGCCAAACAGCCTGAGAACCTTAAGCCTTTCCAAGATTAGCAACCGTAGGTCACTATGCTGTCCCCATAGATGGCAGAGAGAGGGCCTGTCCTGGGGCCGGGGGAAGATTCTTTGGTGGCCTCCCCAGCTGCTCTGCTGCAGAACGTCTGAACGGTGGCCCCATACACTTCAGCGGGGGGTGGAGGGGGGACACGGGACAGGGCATTCTTGACTGTGCAGAGACTGTAGGAAGAAGTACTTGGGGAAAGAGGAGGCCATCCCCCAGCTCCCACCCGCTGTCCTGCTTAGTCTCACAGTGCACTCACAGCATGTTTATTCTCTGCTTCCCATTGACCAGTGGACCAGGCTAGATTTCTCATTTCCTCTAGGGAGGCTGGGGAGAGGCATGGGCCACAGAGAGGAACTCGTATTTATTGCTGTCCCCTGTGGCTCCCTCCCCAGCCTCCACCCCCTCCTGCAGCCACATTGCCCTCTGGCTTCTTCCTGCAGCCACCGGCACAGGCAGGCGGTGGCTAATCTCTGCTCTGGGGCTGCGGAACCCCATCCAGGGCCCACAGTCCTCCTCTCCTGGCCTCACCTCCTGGCCCTGCAGTTGAATGAGAGCTGGCTGCTGAGGCTCACCTCCCCTAGGAAGCTGGGGAGATCTGCAGTACTGTGTGGGTAATCCTGGAGCTGGAAAGCCGCAGGAGAGTGAGGTAGGTTTTGCTTTGTCTTATTGCATGAGCTCTGATGTCCGTGCATGGGTCCACACTGCACTTCAGTTGTTGGTGTCTTCTCAGCTTGTGGAGATTCACAGACCCGTACCACGGTGAGGAAAAGGAGCAAGAGACAGACGATCTCTACCATGTAGATCTCTACCATGATTCTTTTTTAAGTTTTTCTGACTTCCTTAGTGAAAGATGTGTTAAAAGTTGACAGATGACTTGCTAACAGAGATAGAAGCAAGTGCTTCATTAGAAGGGTACATTAGTAGAGTACCTGAGGGTGACAAGTGGAGGAGAGTGAGCAATTTGTGCAGGGTTCTGGAGAATTCATGTGATTTTCCAGAATGTTCTATGGTGCAGTTGCACTTCCTGAGATTAAATGCAAGTAGTGACAATGGACACTGTGGATGACCATGAAGGCTGATCCCAGGGACTCAGGATGGGGTGATTTTGTCCGGTTGCTGTTTTCGATCACCATTTCATTCAAAATAAGGGGTGAGCTGGAACCCAGGGAAAGGTCAAGGCTTGTTCAACAGCACTGCAGATGGCTCTGGATTTTTTTTCCTCTTTTATTTTTATTTTCACTTTAGCCTCAGTCAAGCTTTGCTCTGGGAAAAGTACTTCATGCTAACCTCATAAGCATCAACCCAGTTATGTCTACTGATTGAACATGCTCTGCTCTCTTCTGTCATGTTTAGTTGAGCTGTGCGTAATTTCTTGTCACCCATATAATTTCACTTCAGGGTGATCCCTCACGCCCACTCCCACTCCCCTGTAGCGTTCCTGGGAAACGCAGCCGCCATCGTGTCACTCTGCATCTTTGGCACCCAGTGTTCACAGCTGTGTTACCTGTCAGTGTGGTCAGGCGACAGTCACATTAGGTATCCCTTGGGAGCTGGTTACAGATGAATGAAAACCTCAACCCTCCCCTGGGCTTGTGCACCTGCCCTGCATCCTGGTTCCTGGGACCCCTGGTGCCTGATATAGTTTGAGAAGCTCTGATGGAAGAGGGTAGACGAGGCCACCCGTGTCACCTGCCTGCCTCAGTGCTTAGCACCTGTGCTGCTCTGTCACCTGGACATCTCATTTCATTCTCCACCCCATTACCCACTACAACCTGACCTGTCTCCTGAGTCCCTTATCCAACCCCCCTCTACTAAGCACCCTGAGGTCTATGACTTTATGGCACTGGGCGCAGGGTTGCTGTGGGAGGCCCTTGCACACTGGGTGATGGTGGCTACCTTAATTCCCATCCTGGAGCTGTCCCTGATCTTTGGGTTGACAAGCCTGTAGCCCTTCTCAGTGCCTGGCATTTAGCCTGTGCTCTGTCTGTGTTGAATTCCCAAATGAATGAGTGAACGAATTAGTGTGCATGCTGTGTGAAGAATTTGGAGTTGCGGTCAGACTGAGATCTAGAGCTTGAAACTTTCCATAGCATTTTCCCACATTGCCTTTTTTTCCTGAGACCTTGCTGGACTTAGTTATTGACTGAATATTTTGAATCCCCTCATGGCCATGCCTCTGTGACAGAGGGGGGCATCCACCTCCTTTTTCTCCACCCAGGTTGGGCTGAGTTCTTCAGCCCCTCCCACACCAACCGGTTTGCTGTGCGCCAGACCTGGGATGCTAAGTACACAGGTGTGAGTCCTGCTTCCGTGATGTCCCTGGTAGAGGGCTTTTGACACCTCAGTCTTGCTGGTCCCTGCAAAACCATGAAGGAAAATTACAGCAGGCTGATTGCTGACAAATGCAGGCATCCAGAGCTCGAGGCAGCAAGGTGAACTACAATGAGGCTGCTCTGAGCCCTGTGGCTCTGAGTTCACTCCTTACCTGTAGCTCCTACCAGGAGCCTCTGATGTGTTCCCAACCTTCTCAGCCTCAGTTTCTCAAGTGATGGACAAGACAGGGAACTGCAGGGAAGGGAAACCCTTGATTTCCCTGAGGGCACAGAGGAACCCAGCCCCAGGAGCTCCACGGTGCTCAGCAGGGCAGTGCAGCTGCAGCAGGCCTGTGTGCAGAGCCCAGGCAGAGAGCAGCTCAGTTTCCTCACCACGCCACGGACTCAGCTGTGGGCATCAGCATGGTTCTCTGGTGCCTTGTTCCCCAGAGGATGTATGGTGATGGTTCCCAGGCTCGGTGCCTCACATCCTAGAGGAATCTGCTGGGTACTCGGTATAGGTGTGGCTGGTTTTCAGTGGGGCTGCACCAGCCTGCAGCAACCTCTGATTCTTTAGAGCAGTGGGGAGATGGTAGAGAAGCATTTCCCAGTGTGCAAGAAAATCCAGGAGCCTGCAGATGTAACCAGTCCCTACCTGGCTCTTGCAGTGATGAAGACTCCCTTTCTGCTACATGTAGCTTTCCTTTCTCCCCCTATGCACTGCTATGTCATCCAGATTTTATCTCAAATCTTTTCTCAATCCAGGGGGATCTCTCTTGCTGTGCCTGTGAGGCAGCTAGGAGGAAACTTCTGCGTCCCACCTGTTCCGCAGGCTAAAATGACACTGACTTCTCGGCAACTCAAAAGACCATGCTGGCTCCCTTCCACCCTCTCCTCCTGCTGTCCCCTCACCTGGAACTTCTGATGACACACCTCCCAGGCACCCAGAATTGTTTCGTTCTTCCTGTAGTTCCACCATGCTTCCTGGATGTCCACCTGGTCCACCATTGCCCTGCAGAAGCAGTGTCGCTGGTCATTTCCTAGTTGCTCAAATCCACTTTGATCTCCTTTAGGCACAGGGTGGGCTTATTTTTACCGGTACTAGGGGTCGAACTCATGACCACAGGCTTGCAAGGCAGGTGCTTATGCCGTTGAGCTAAATCCCCAGCCCCGACAGACCTACTTTTAAATCCCCCTATTTGCTACTTCTTTAAATACTAATTGTATCTTGCTGAGCCTTAGTTTTCTTTCTGGAAATGTGTGTTAATACTTAACACACAAAGTGTCAGGAAGGTTCATTAAGCCAAAGTGCCTAATAGGCCGCTTCAAGAAATACCCAGATCTTTCCAGACCTGGTGCTGCACACCTATAATCTCAGCAGTCTAAGAGGCTGAGGCAGAGAGATCTCAAGTTCAAGCCTAAGCTTCTGTCTCTGAAGTTTAAACATGGCTGGGGATGTAGCTCAATGTGAAAGGCCTGGGCTCAATAGTCAGTACTAAAACAAGAAAAGATGGTTGCCAGTGGAGGGGGACAGCCAGACGCAAGTTTTTCCCTGTGAGTTAGTGCCATTTGGGGACTGCGAGTGGAGGGGACAAGGCCTCACCAAGAAGCAAGCCCTCTCTGTGAATCAGTGCCATGCATGGACTGACAATGGGTGAACAGCCACGACCCACGCCCTTTCCAGTGCACAGGCTGGCAAATGAGAAGAGCCAATATCCCCACAGGCTGTGGTGACAGCTATTGAGGTGAAATGCAGTTTGATGCTTGTAGTGTTTGGTGTTTCACTGACTTTGCAGGCCTAGGGCCCGTGGTCTGATCATCTATTCAGAGGATAGCAGTATGGCATCTATGGGGGATCTCCTTCTGAAGGTGGTGGCCATTGTTAATTCTCTTGTCTTATTTTAAAGTCCTGTATCATTTTCATTGTTTTGTTGGGTTGGGTTTTGTTCTGTTTTGTTCTGTTTGACTTTGTTATATCAGATGGCATGGAGCAGCTATTTCAAACATAGCAAAATACATTATGGTAGCCAATTTGCATTTACTGTTGTTTTGAAGTTGTTTATTGCATTCATTGTTTTGTTTTTACTGGTTCTTCTCTGTTCTGTTCTGTTTGATTTTCACTGTGTCTGAAGGTGTCTGCAGCTGTTTTGAAAACAAGAGGCATTATGGTAACCATTCTTGATTTCATATTATTGTCACTTGTACTGGTTTGTTTTTATTGGTTTTATTCTGTTTCATTTTCCTTCGTTTTATCCACTTTAACATAAAAAAAGAAAAGAAAAGAAAAGAAGAAAATGAAAATAAATCTACTAGATCTTTAAAAACAGAGACTGGCCAAGATGATGAAAATGAGAAACTTATCACTCACCGACTATCTCAAGGGGCATTAGAGGGACATTTGAAGGAAGAAGGGAGCCTGGCAGCACATGAAGGGTGCTTCTAAACATTTGAAGATTGCTCCATGTGGGAAAAGAGAGAGCCCCAGACCAATGAGTGGAAATTATAGGGCAACAGATTCCAGATCAGTGTGCAAAAAGATTTACCCACCACCAGAATTGGCTACTAGTGGAGAGCTTGTGGCACAGGGGACACCTTGTCCCTGGCAAGGCTCCAGCACCCTGGAAGAGGAGTGGCCTGAGTGTTCCCAGGGGATGCCAACCCTGGGTGGAGTCTGGGTGATGACCTGAGAAGTCTTTCCTGCTTCTGAAGCTCATGATGTCAGTGCCCCAATCCAGCCCCCCCCCACCACAAAATAGTCACCAGGCTATAGTGACAAGAGTTGATTCCTAGTAGCCAGTCTGTTATCTGCTGCACTGATTTTAAAATAGGATCTCTGCAACAATGGAGTAGGTTGGACTTCCAGGAAAAAGCCAGAAATGGGAACAATGAAGAGGGAAAAGTTCATTCCAAACCGCTCTTCTGGGTCACCCTGAACTGGACTGTGACTTAGTCCTTGTGTTGCAAACACATTTCTATTGATGGAAAACTGCCATAGTTGGGTACATTTTCAGCTAAACCAGGGGAAATGGGGATATCAGGCTGTCTCAGAGCTTTGTGCTTGCTGTTTTGGTCTGTGGAGAGACTGTGGGTATGTGCTCTTAACCACTGAGAAATCTAAATTGAAAAGTAAATTTCATGGCTCTGCCGTCCTCTAACATCAAGCCCTGGAATGGGGAATTGGACTGAGTCAGGTCCTTAATCCCTGTCTTTCATACAATCTTCCCTTCTCAACTGCAGGAGCCTCAGTCACACCCTATCCTCTATGCCACTGAGGACCTGGACATAGTCTCCTAGAAGTCAAGGATTAGCTTGGGGGCCCAGCTGTCCTGTGTGATCCAGGAGGGCCGGCTGCTCTTGTGGTTCAGGATTCTCTCCTCTTCTGCAGACAATGGACACTTTTTCAGCATAGCTTTGCTTCCTCTCACCTTGCTTTGAGATGCTGGGCGAGAAGCAATACCCTTTCAACAATGCAGAAATCAGCAATGCCACCGATGGTGAAAGCCTAACAGACTGCGAAATGTTTTATATTCCGGGTTTATGTAATCTTGCTTTCTCCAAAACAACAATGCAGGGTGGGGGGAAGATTCTCTTGAAATATACTCAACTGCACAGGGCAAAATCAGAGAAGCCCTGGAAGCCCAGCGTGTTTATTTTTAGATGAGCTTCAACCAGCCGCATAGCAGAACAGCTGTCTAACGTCCTAAGCGGCCCTGGGAATTTCCTCTAACAAGGCCAAGCTTCCGCCCATTGTTGAGGCACAAAGGCAGAGGGAGGGCCCCGGGAGGCTGCTGTGGGCCCCGCCCAGATGAAATCTGGAATCTGTCTGCCCTCCTGCAGTGGTCCTGAGGGCAGGGGGTCAAGAAGGGGAGTTCCTGCCTCACTGGGCAGGTGCTGCTGCTTAAAAGACATGAGAGCTTGCTTCACCCCCAGTATCTCAGAGCCTGCAGTACATTTCAGAAATAAAGGCCCTGCTTTCTGTTGGTAGCAGGAACTCAGACTCTTGCTTGTGCTGTGACACAGATTCTGCTACAGCCTGGACACAGCAAGCCATTTGAGGAGTCTGAGTTGGATTGCAGTGAATGAAGGGTGAAGGTGTTAACAGTTTAGCTTTTAAAAGAAAGCACAGAAGCATGTAGGCATGCACACCTAGTGTGAGAGCTAGCATCTGATCTCTGAAGTACCCACAGTTTTGCTATTATCACAGAACAGCTACTGGCCTTTGATTTATTTGTCTATAAAATGGATTCAATAGATCTCACATCTTACTAGTTCAGCAATAAATAAGATACAGTATTACAAATAATCAGGCCTAATTCAAATTTTGGTTAAGGTGCTGCAATTTGGTTCTAATATGCTTTAAATGCTTACAGAGAGATTACTGTTAAGAGATTTATTGTTATATTTCCAGTATATAGCCACTGTAGAAAAGGTGCCCACTTTGTCCCACGGTTGGCAGGGACTCTGCTTATGTCAAGTCCTTCCTGCCTGCGCAAGGTCACTGCGTCATTTCTTAGAGTCACCATACTCAGGGTTACATCAAGAGTCTCAGATATGAATGGTGGTGCACACTGCCCCGTCCGGGAGAAAGGGGACCTGCATGTACAAACACCAGCCCAGGGCAGGCCCAGGATCCTCCAGCTCTGCCAGCAGGTGGATGCCCAGCCCCCTCTGGGCCCCAGACGCAGGAAATCATTTTCTAGCCCTTTGGTGAGAATGTGAGAATGTCCACAAAAATGCTTTTATGGATTGTTTTGTTTGCAAGTGTTTATTATCAGACACCCCTCAGGGGTTCATAGGCCAGGTTGCGAATGTCCACCAGCAGCCCTGGGAATTTCCTTCCACAGAGGCTGTGCTTCCTTTCTTTGTTATTCCTCAAAGAACGAGCTGAAGCATTGCTTGAGATCCTTACCTAACACTTCTTCCTGCCTGCAGTGTCTCCGTGCCACATGGAAATCGCTGCCAGTCACCTAGGAGGCAAAGATCTTAGGAGTGGAGGTGTGTGTGTGCTGGGGTAGGGGACATAGGTAATAAAGTATAAACCATTTCACTTGGAAAGCTTTTCACTCAGCGTTCTATTACACACTCGCTGTTGGTCAGACCAGATAAGACTTCTGCTTTCTCCACCATCATGTGTATTCCTGTGGAAAATTCTGAGCACCGCAGGGACTCCTAGAATCCTAGCTGCTTTTCCCCTGTAGCATTTGCTTACTGGCTCAAACAGAACTGGAAAGAATTGAAAGGTCTTTCAATTAACGAAGAGTTAATTATTGTGTGAATCGATGTGGCAGGACTACTGAGCAGCAAGGGAAGGCAGAGTTCCGTCTGCAGGAAATTCCAAAGCATGCGATGCATTCACATGCGCACACGAATGTGCATGCACACACACACACATTCTTAAGTTCTTTGTGATGGAGCAAGGAGCAAGTAATTGAATAAGCTAAGGGTAGGGAAGATGGGAAGACGGTCACGAGCCCTCGTCCAGCCTGAGACTCTTGAGTGAGACATTTCTCTTCAGAGACGTTTTCATGGTGGCTTCACTATCTGCAGATTCCAGGCACCTGTGCAGTGAGTGCTCCCATGCACATACATGTGTACACATAACAAACATATGCACACATAACAAACACATGCATGCACATATGCTACACACACATGCACACAGCCTGTTCTCAGAGGCAGATTTTTGTCTAGTGGCAAGAGCTCCCTTTGCCTGCTCCCCACCAGGCCCCTGCAAGTCTCAGCCTGACCCTGTCTCACCTTGCCGTCCCCAAGGAGACACCAGGGCTGGCGGCTGTCATTTAAGAGTGCTTCAGTGTTTTGCATCTGAAGACAACAGCTCCACAGCGCTGCACCTCGCTTCACCCTCACCCTGTTCTTCTGTCCCCTTTCCTGGCCACAGAGTCCTTGAGAAACTCATAGAGATCCTTGTCTTCTTGCCATCAAGCCTTCTACCCTGCCCCATGTCCCCTCCCTCTGGATGCCTCGTGACACCTTGCTGAGCTTCCCTGTGGCTCTCATTGCACTGTCACAGGCTTTGACACTGCTGACTGTGACCTATGGTCTCATCCCTGTCTCTGGGATACAGCAGATGTGTGGCTTTCCTCCACCTCCCCTGGCCATGATGGCTCAGTTTGCCTTGTGGGTTCCTGTCCCTCTGCTGCCACCTCAATCCCTGATGGCCATGAGGTGAATCACCTCTTCTCCATCGCCTGCGGCTGACACGCGTCCCAGTCTGGAGCCTTCTTTCTTGCTCTTTTGTCAAACTAGCTGCCATCTAGAGCCCATCCTACCTGTCACCACACAGCTTCCTCCTCCTTTGCCCTCTCCACATCATGCAGAGCAGCTCTGTAGTGAGCTGCTGTCCTCAGTCACAGGGACACCTCAAGTCACCTTTCTGTTCCTAGCCCTGGGCACAGAACTTGGCACTGTGGGTTTCAATAAGTGTCTGATAAAGTGTAAGGGATGTGAAACCACTACTTGCCAATGATTTATCTTGTCCTGTTTCCTGATGGATGGGTGGGGTGAGAAAAATATTAATTCTAATATCATTTAAAAAGATTTCACACTACTCTGCTAAGACTGCTAACAAATTTTCACCTTTTCTTCAGTTCAAAAATCACAACTCTGAGCAATTTCCATCTGAAATTTCAACCCTTGCGTAAAACAGAAATGAAAGAGTTTGCACTTTGTGCCGCATTTAATTCGCACTCTGGCAGAATTTTTGAAGGGGACATGGGTGACGGTACATTAACCTGCCTGATATGGGCTGCCACTGAGTCCCGGACCAAGATGAGGCTGAGTCCATTGCTTCATGGTGGATGGGGGTTCAAGGAGTAGATTTTTTCCACATTTGCCCATTTTGCTGTCAAAGCGGAGGGTTGATTTGCTGAGATGTCAGAGAGAACTTGGTGACCATGAAGAATGACCCTCAACATGGAGACAATAGAGCCCACCTAACTTCTTGTCCCCAGTAATACTATAGGCAAGGCCAGGTCTTCAAGGACAGAGGTGCCCCTGACTCTGGGTGGCAGACGGAATCTATACTCACTGCAGGGCTACCAAGGAAAGAACATATGCCACTATTTGTTTTGGAGAATCTAACCTTTTCCAGATCGGTGCTTTGGGTTTTGTATTAATGCCTACAGGTATCTTAGTCCAGGAGAACCGGGATGTGTAATGGACTAGAGATACAAAGCAGGGTTGTCCAGGTGTGATCTGGGACTGGAAGAGATGAATGGATGCAGACTTTCAGGCCCTGACTGTGCACACGAAGGTGTGGCAGGCAGGAAGCGGAGGGTGCTGCAGAGCCCAGGTTTCCAACAGTGCGTCCCAGATGGCACTTCTGACACATGGGGAGTTGCACCTAAGAAACAGTATTTAGAAAATGCTTGGGGACCTGTTGAGAAACGGAGGACACCACTCATGCTCCTCCAGGAGGGCTAAGGCCAGGGCAGTTTTCATGAGTGTGTTCTTCCCACTGAGTTGATGGCCCACATCTGGATCATGCATCTGGAGGAGAACCCTGCACTCCTGCACCATCCTTGGCACCACGGTGTGCTCCTTATGGAGGTCTCTGCAGCTTCACACTGCAGAGCAGAGGCAGTGTGGGGGAAAGACCTAGGGAGGGCCCCTGATATAGATGACCTCATTTCATGAGATCATTGCATCATTAGCTTCATTTTACAGATGCGAAAGATTAGTCAACTTGCCCGGATTCCCACAGCTAATACTGAGGAGATTCAGAATCCAGCTCCAGCAGTGCAGGCCATGGCACAGGCTCTCACCTGTCCTAGCCCCTCTAACAATGTGCCACCTCCTGGATTCATTCATAAAGTCACTGATCAAGCACCACCACTCCACACAGCAGCAAGGAGTAAGAGCTGAGCCCACAGCAGGTGCCAAAAGAGAGCCTGGGGGTGGGGTTAGAGCCAGAGTGACAGAGCAGCTGCAAGTGTCCTCTAAGTCACTTCAGCAAGCTTGACGGGGGTCGAGGAGCTGTGCACAGGCCAGACAGTGCTCAAGAGGCTCCTTGCAGGGATGACCTTGAACGGGGCTATGAAAGATAGCGAATCAGAGGAAGCAAGCAGAAGCAGGCAGCTGCAGGAAGAGGGTGGAGGAAGGAGTGAGAAGGACCGAGTTGGACTGCAGTGTTGACTTCACAAGCAGCACACTCACACCAGATCAGCACACACGGCAGATTGTCACTTGTGCACCTGTTAGTTGTGTCTCAACAGAGCTGGGAGAAGAAAGAAAGGAGCAGGAGATGCAGGGCTAGATGTGGAGGAAAAAGCCTTAATGACAGAGTTGTTGTCTCTAAAGAATTGTGTCTTCTTTTGTGAAGAGGAGTAGCTAGCTCTAGACCAACCGAGCACTCCTCTCCCTGCCTGTACTGCTCGCTCCAGATGTCTCCGGAGTGTCTGACTCAGCTGTCTGCAGCCTGCAGACTGGGCACTGGTGTTTTTCAGAGAATCACCAGGGTAAATGACAATCAAGATTTATCTCCTTGGTTCCTGAATTTCCTGTGGAGGAAAGGCACCTGGAGAGTCTGTGTTCAAATCCTGGTTCCTGGCTCTCCGCCCTGCAGGTCCAGATTCTGGAGGTTGGAGTGAGTTCCCAAGTTCTCTAGAGTGCTAACGACACTCGTGGGGCCACACTGTGTTCTGTGAAGCCAGAACTTAGGGTGTTCCAAGGCCACACTAACCCAGGAAGTGTCGCGCGAAGGAAGTCACTAAATCTCTTCTCTTTCTTCCTCTCTGTGCCTGTCTTACTTTCAAATACATCTATAATTTATGAAAATCCAACTCAAGCATCCTTGAGCCCTGATTCATTTGAGTCTGTGAGGTTCAAAACAGGGTGAGCTGCAGGGATGTCTGGAATTTTAAAAGCTAGTCCTCTGAAATTTCTATTTGCAAAGCAGGAAGTCACTTTTTACCCAGAACAAACACTCAAGTAAAGGGCCTGGAGGGCCCTTGAGGACCTAGGGCTGCTGCTTGTACCTGATTTGTCCACATTCTAGAGCAGGGCAAATGTGAGTCTGTAGGAAAGGGGAGCTCTGTGGCTCTGTGGGGGCTCAGCCAGCAAAAACCAAAATATGTCCTGGGGGTTGTTATTTCCTCCTTGATAGACAAGGCAGGAAGAGCCTGGGAAATCCAAAGCACCTCCAATCAGAGAAGACTCCAAGGGTGGTCAGGAAAAAGAGGTCTCAAATATTACTTTCCATCTTTGCATAACAAAACAAAACAATACAAAACAAAAAATTCCTCCCCAAAGCAATTATCTTCTCTAGTGGCATGGTCACAAACTAAATTTCTCACACCAAGGCTTAGCAGATAAAGCCTCATGTGAAAAATAACAAGGGGCAGAATATATATTCACACAAGCAAGTGGTGAATCAAAATGAGGCTCATAAAGGGCTGAAAAGGGGGGGCAAATCCCAAGAAAAACAGATTCCTTTGCTGCTTGCCAACCCAGCAGCTAAAATCCAGCCAAGAAGGTCTGTCCAAAGCAGATTCCATTTCCATCCCCTTTCATAGGGAGAAAGGAGCTAGGTGTGTGCTTGAGAGATTTTGTGCGACCACGCGATCTTTTACCATTAGTGCACTGGTAAAATTAATTAGTTTGAGCCTCCCATTCCGTATCCTCACAACCTTTACTGAAAGTCACTTTTGAGTTTTGAAACAATGAGTTTAAAGGGAAGTTGTTAAAAATAGCTGAAGTTAACAGTGATTAAATAAAAAGGAAATAAACGAAAAACTACTTTCATTGAGCCCAAGAAAAAATAAACTTTTCCTAAATTGTTCTTTCTCCTTATTTAGTATTTGCAAAGGGTTTTTACTGTAGTTGAAGTCTTCCAGATACACGGACTTGGTTGTGGTTTTTTTTGTTTGTTTGTTTTGTTTTGCTTTTTTGTTTTTTTGGCCTTTGGGCTGTTTCCAAGACTTGGTTGTGTTTTTGTTTACTATGTTTCTCAGCAAGATCCCCAATACTCCAGCCAGAGCCCCACACTGTTGGCTTTCAATCCAGTCTTGCCCCTGCCTTTTCCCACTCCCAGAAGCCCCCAGACACCTCCCTGTGGATCTCAATAGAGCAAGATTTTCACCCCTCAGGTAGATGATGTCAGGTAGATGATGGTGGTTACGGACTAAAGAAGGAAGCAATGCATCTTGGGAGCTTTGGCTGTGAGACAGAAGAATGGAAAGAACAGAGCAATGGGCAAGTTCTGGGGAGCAGAGTGTGTGCCCCAGGAACATGTTACAGAAGGCTAGATCTGTAGAATGGTGTTATTCAGAGCCTGCTTTGCACAAGGAGTCGTGGGGACAGTGTACTGCTGTGGAAGATTGATGGGACACTGGGGAGAAGGTGACAGGCAGACCCCAAAGAGGTGAAAAGTAGAGATAAGGGGGAAGGTGTCAGAGGAATCTAGCAATTTCTGTGGCTGTTGGCGAGGGCAATCCTCCAGGACCTGAGACTGAGGGTGAAGGGACACAGCCCCACACAAATTGCAACCTGGTCACAGGAGAGGGAATCAACACCCCCTCACCCACCCATTTCTTTCCATTCTATGGTCTTCTGCTGGGATCCCCCACTCTACCTCCTCCCTACTGCCTTCCGAGGCCCAGGGGCTGCAGGCTATGGAGCTGTCAGAGATAGACTGAGAATACCCAGATGCTCTCCCGGTTGGAATGCACCTCCTAGAGTTACTTACCACTTGGCTCCAGGTCTGGAGCAGGGTCTGTCGTGTAGATCCGCAGTGAGGACTGGGTCATGGGAGGCAGTACGTGTGACTTGGCAGAGAGGTTCCCTGGGATATGTGATGTAAGCGCACCTATCTTCCCTATTATCATATTGAGTCAGATTCAGCCCTGTGCATGTGTAAGCAGATCTGGAAGAAAAGCACGAGATGATAACTAGCACCAAGATCGCATATGTATATCACAGCACTTGTTTTACAGATTTCTAAGGCATGATGTAGGAGCCAGTGGGTTGTGTTAACAGCAGATGGACCAGGAGCCAGGACCTCAGGCCACGAGCATCTACAGGTCAACACACTGTTATCCAAGGGAGTTTCGACCCATAGCCAGCAGGAGGTCCATGCCCAAGAGCAGCTCAGGACTCTGTCCCGGTCTCCAGTCTGTAGATGTGGACAGCAGTGGTTCCTCCCTCACTGGACTTACAGGAGCCCGCAGCAAGCATGGCCCTCAGGGCTGTCCTTTGTACAGGATGAGGGCTCAGTTGAGGGAAGGAGGAAAGTGCTCCCTGGGGGTCTGCTTTCCAGCTGGCTGGCATGCTCATCATATTTCTGATTAGGGAGAGGGTCAGGAGGTAAAAGGACAGCCCGTCCCAGGGGGCCTGCTTCACCCCTGTACCCTACCAAGGCTTCCTGCTTCCTTCCTTCAAGGGCAGACAGAGCCAGAGCTGGCTTCCTTCTGACCCCCGGTCAGCACCGCACACCACCCTTACATTTTTCTGGGAGGGGTGGAACTGTACTGGCAGAGATCTGTGTGTGTCTTCCTTTCCCTGGGTCAGGAGGTGTTTCCAGATGAGGCAAGTGGGGGACTCAAGGAAGAACAGAAACATAGCTTTCCAGTGAAGGAGGGACTCTCACAGTCTTGCTTTTCTCTCTCCACTTCTATTTGGTATCTGTGAGTCCTTTCTCCACCATCATTTGTCCCTCATAGGACTGCTCCAGGTGGAGTGTATCCCTTAACATGGATGAACTCCTAGAGAGGGATGGGCCATCTCTAAGACCATGAAGAGCTCATGACACCCAAGGGTGAGGAAAGAGAGGGACTCTGGTGCAGGCATGAGGTGGTACACTATCTGTAGAGGGTTTAAAATCAACAATGAAGCCGACTAAGAGTCTACTTTAAAAAACTGTCACCATGTGGTGGCAATTCTAGACAATGTCAATAATAAAATGTCTTTGTTGGGCCAAATTCTGAGCAGTCACTGCTAGCACATGGTGAATTTCCATAATATAAGTCCTGATTCACTCCTTTTTGTCATATGTTGTAGCAAAACATTAATTCAGAAGTAGTTACATAAGAGCTCCTGATACAGAGGGACTCAGCCACGCATGTTGAAGTGCGAGTCCCCACAGATGGAGCCTTGTGAGTTTGTGGGATGTCCTATTCCTACATTTTCAAACGTAGATTAAAAATAAGCAATGCCAGCACAGGGACTGTAAAGACTACAAAATGGGAGTATGGCTTTAATTCTGCAATTTTATGCCATCTCATAGAATATTAGAGTTTAAAATGTAAAACTCAGCACATAGAAACTTCAAGGTATAGTGCTTTTATTTGGCAACCTCGAGTATTAGTTCATACTTAAATATTTTATTGGATTTTAATAACTTTTAAAGTCAAATGTTTTCCATTTTGCTTAATGGTTCTAAACCTAAAGAATTAGTTAAGCAAAACAAAGATTATTATTACTAGTAATGTTTTCCAGTAAAAGAGCAATGGCATGGTGGTTAGAGTGGAGTTTCAACTTGATTAGCTTGCGGATTGGTGGAGCACACTTCTAGGTGTGTCTGGGTGGTCACAGAGGCTGGCCTTGGGTCTATATCTTGTCCCTTGACCTTTCTAATCTAGCACCTTCCCTGCTCGCTTTCTGGCTGCTGTGAACTAAGTAGTTTTACTCTGTCATGTCTTTCTGCCGTAATATTTTTGCCTTGAAGCCAGGCAACTGTGGACTGGAACCATAAGCAAAGTGAAACCTTCTTTTAAGTTGTAGGTATCAGGTATTGCATCCCAGTAACGGAAAAGGAACTGATGCAGAAAATTAATACCAGGAGAGAGGCCTTTGCTGCCAATTATCTGCCAGGGGGCAATATACATGCCATCTATAAACTCTTCCCATAAACCAGTACCACATGGATGATACTAATGTCTGTTTTCAACCGAAGCAGTTGCAGGGCCCCTTTGGACAATGGTTAATGCAGCCTCTGATAGCCAAGTACACTGAAATGAATCTGGGGAACAAATTTCCTAAATATAGCTTCTTGATCAGGAGTCCTGAGGCCTGTCCTGAATTGAAAGATTTATACTTAGGCACCTTAAATCTGGAGCTATTGAGACTTTGAGAAAAGGGTGTGTGTATTTCCAGTTGTATGCAGGTTAAGTGCATTATGTTAAGTGGAATTCGAACTTGCTACTGTCTTTATTTGGAGATTAAGTATAATTTAAGGAGATGTATTTGGATAGCACGTTAAAAAGGGGTGGAAAGTGGCACAGTGGAGCTTCCATTTGGTTAGTTTTGATATCTTCCCTGGGGACTGGTGCAGCACACCTCTAGGTGTGTCTGAGTGAGCTAGGGAGATGTGTCCTTGGGTACTCCATCTGGTCCCTGGCCCTTCTGCTGTGGCTCTTTTCTTGTGCTCTGCCACTTGGCCAACATGATGCAGCTTTGCTCTGCCACACCCTTCCACCATTATGTCATTGCTTTGGAGCCAGCCAAATCATGAGCAAGTCAAAACTCCCCTCCTTTGTGCTGTGGGTGGTGGGTATTGTGTACAGTGATAGGGTTATTAAAGGATCTAGTCTCAGTGTCACATATGCATAGTATTTCCATGGTCCAGAGTTATGTGTGCAAGCTACTGTCTTCCTCCAAGGCACTTGTAGAGAAGTATGAGGGTGCACATGATGTGTGTGTGTGTGTGTGTGTGTGTGTGTGTGTGTGAGAGAGAGAGAGAGAGAGAGAGAGAGAGAGAGAGAGAGAGAGTAAATTCAGGGAATGGGTTTTATCTAAGTCACTGCATGATTCTCAGAGAAGTTAATGACTTTTATCTTGCTCCTGTGAGCACACATAAATAATCCCAGGGCAGAAGCCTGATGTGTAAGGTGACTGGGACACTTGGGACCATTTGAGAACTTTTCTAATTTAGAATAGGATGTGATTCGAGAGCCGAGCTTATTCATAACTCTGCTTATTTTTAGCTAGAGCCCAGTGGTTCAAATGAATCATCCCAGACTAGGACACACAGCACATACTACTGTGTAAATACAAGCTCTAGATCTAAATTGTCTTCGCATAAATGGAAGATAGAACAATTTGAAGAATTTAGGAAGAGACTAAAAATATATGTGGCTTTCCCTCTCTTAATGTTCCAAGTCAGATGAAGGAAGACAGAGGTATCTGGCCCGGAATAATCATGTAACTGTTGATTTGTAGCTGTGCTTGTGGTCCAAGAATGGTTTAGAGGTCCTGAGAGGCAGACTGATCGTGGAAGGCAGGGGTAATATAATTAGGGATGGCCTTTACTTGGAACCTAGAGGCCAAGGAAAGCTACTGGAGCTATGCAGGGCTGGGCGATGCCCATGGAGCAAGGGAGCCACTTATACAACAAGGAACGTCTCAAAGAGCAGTAGCAACACCACAAATGCTTTCCTTTGTGTGTTTCACCCCCTTTGAAAACCTCAATGAGCAGAGGGCAGGATCCAGGGCAATTCACTTTCATATTTGTCAACCAGATGTCCAGGCCAGTAAGGAGATCAGGTCATCTGCTAGGGTTGGCGGAGATGATGCTCAGCAGAAGTGGGCAGCACACATCACTATTTTCCTGCTCAGTGGCCACTCTGTAAAGCAGGTGAGGTCAGAATAGGCTGATTGGGTCTGGCATTCTTGATCTCTAGTTTTCCAGGGTGGTTATTTTCCAGCTAGCTCTTATTTTTGGGGGAAACGCTGTAGAACCATTTCTCCCTCCAGGAAACTGGGGAGGAGCAAATGTGGGTGAGGGTAAGGGCTCCTGAGATGTGAGGTTACCAGGATTGGCAGGACAACAGAGGATCTAAACTTGGATTCCAGTGCTGATGCTGATGGGTGCGGGACCTTGACGAAGGCCCTTCAGTATCCCCCAGCACAAGGTGATGCATAAGTGACCATGCCCCTTTATGTCCTTTGACTCCAACATCCTTCCTGGCATGAGGGACTCTTAGGTTATATTCCTCTGGTAGTTTTGGTGACACAGTTCTTTAGTCACCTTGTCACATTGTCATCTTGCAGAAGAAATTATCTCTGCTGTGAAAGACTGTGTTTTGGGGTCATGGAAATATAGAGGCATCTCAAGCAGCATAGAGGGTAGAGTCTGGGGAGTTCCTCCTATGAGATCAGGGGGTGTAGACCTAGTTCAGATGCTTGCAAATCAGCCTTGCTATTTCCTGCAGGAACGGTACCTACCCCAGAAAGCACCTGCTCCAGGATGTAGGCTGAGATTCAGAGGGCCCAGGAGCTGGTCACCTGAGGCATGGATGGCGGAGAAGTGTGGCTTCCTTCCATGGAGATTCCCTCCCAGGCCTGGGTCCTCACACATCAAGTTCTGCTCTATGACAAGGTGGCTGGGAGAAAAGAGTCCATGACAGAGTGGGTCAGTCACCAACTCTGACACCACATGTAATGCTATGAGGCATGGGGTGGCAGGAGTCATGTCATGGGCATCAGCGAGATCTTCCTCCTGCTTTGAAAGGTAGCATCAACCTTCCCCGGGAAGAGATCTGGAAGGGTCAAGAGGAGGTTGCTGCTGATGCCTGAGTCTCCCTCTTTCAGGAAGACAGGAAGGACAGGAAAGTGCAAAACCAGGCTCCACTTGGAGAGTACTTGAGATTTCTGGCACAGTCTTAGGCTACAGGGTGACATAAAAAGCGGCAGAAAGAAGTTAGCAGTAGTGAAGAGCTGGTATGAAGGACGGCAGTTTCAGACTCTTCCACATTAAACACCGTGAGCATCTGAGAGACGGGAGCACAGAGGGGGCATCCCCACACCATTTACGGGTGCCCAGCATGGTGACTCTGTGGGAAACACAACCCGCAATAGGCTGTAGCTGGGACTGGTTGGCCAATCCCCTCTGCAGAGAGAGGCCCTGCCAAAACACACACAGGGCAGATGAGAATAAGACCATTGTGTACTCTAAAGCTGCCCGATTATTTGTTGGTTCCTTCCTTGCATAAGGAAAGGCCCATACTGGAGAAAAAATTTTCCTGGCCTTGTTATAGAAATTCTACAAAGAATCTGACCCTGGGCCATGTTGGGTCAAAGGGTTACCAGCATCTAGTGGTGCATTAGAAAGCAAAGCCAGGCTCGCCCTGCCAGCATGCGGGTGTGGAGGGTTGTCTGCGTTGACTCATGGCATACTTTTCTGTGTATAATGCTCCAGGGCTGTGACAGGACTCCTGTGACCATGCCCATGTGTTTCTCTTAGAACGCTCTCTCCATGAATCACACAGAGCCTCCGCTCCCCTGGGGGCGGAGGGCAGAACAGCCTTGGCTGGAGAAGTGATGCATGACCTGGGACACCGGGGTAGGAGGAATTCCTCTGAATATTACAACGTCCTTGGCTTCATCTTGGAATTCTTCCCAGTAGACACTTACTCCCCAGGTGATCTCCTCTAATTTTGGTCTAAATTCTTGTGCCAGGAACTTTCAAATGCAAAACTTTACTATACACATGTTACATGAACTCCATTATGTGCATGTGTTATCTCCACCCAAGGAATGTAATTATTATGCTCTGGTAATGTGCACTAATAAAATAACTAAATAATTAAGAGGAGGGACCACCAAATAGGGCAGCTTAATTTTGTTTTTGTTCATTGATCTCCTATTCCTTGCCACTCTGTGCTAGGAGCATGCATGAAATCAGTCATACCAGCGCCTGCTCTCCAGACATTTCCAACAAAGAATTACACTGGTCATTTAGGTGCAGATGACTGCAGAAGGACTCACCTTTAGCAGGAGGGGACCCAGGAGGCACACAGCCCAGGGGGACAGAGTTACTCACCATGTTAGTTATCACATGTAATCTAGGTGTTTGAAGAATGGCTGGACTTGGGTGTATTATATGTAACTCCCATGCCGCTGTGTAGAAGGGATTTGAACATAACAACTGCAAGGGAAGTAAAACTAGAGATTCTCTGGAGAAGAAGGGAAGGACAGGCAGACCTGTGAGCAGTACATTTTATTATGTGCAGAGCTTGGTTCCTACATACAGTGGAGCAGGGAATGGGGGGCCTTTGTGCCTGAAGACAGGAAGACACTGAGACCCTGTGTTGTCGAGTCCCTGGAGAAGGAGCTACTCTGGCTACATAGGCAGTAACTCCAGCCTTTGAGGACTGGAGAGAAGGACATTAGGGACAGTCGGTCCCAGCAGTGGCTGTGGCTGGTCATAGTCTCCCCACCAGTGATTGCTTCTGGGCTGCGGCCCAGACCATATGGTGGTTGCTTGCCTTTGTTTTCATTGTAAAGTGTGCACCCCAAGCACACGGTGTTCCTAGTAACAAACCGGGGCTGTGGGCAAAAGGAATGCTCCTTGGGGATGCAGAGGGACTGCCACTGCGGCAACACCCATTCCGTGTTGCAGACCAACTGCACTCCACCTAGCGGGGTGCAGAGAAAGAAGCACTGGTCCAGGTACTTGAAGTGACAGAGGCCCTTCCCGCAGGAAAAGTAAATCAGTGTAAGCTAGGAACATGCCTGAGGGTCCTAACTTAACAGCAGAAGCGTAGATTTTGGAAATTTATGTTCTTTCCACTCAAATAGTCTACTATTAGCTTTTGAGTATCTTAGGATTTTCTCTCCATGAGTTCAACCAATCCTGGATTGCAAATATTTTGGGGGAAATATTTATATCTGTACTAAACCTATCCAGTCTTTCTTCTTTCCCTAGACAGTACAGTACCACAGTGATTTGCATAACATTTGCCTCATAATTATCATAAATAATCTAGGTGAAGCATGGCCTGGATGTGGGTGAATTACATAAAGTGGCAACGCCACTTTATGTAAGGGATTTGATTGTTCGGCGATGTGCTGGGTCTCCTGATGCCAATCCCTGAGGGGTGACTGCTCTTTGCTGTGTCCCTTTGTGCAGTAGGTGCTAAGCCCCAGGGCCATGAAGAGCAAGAAGGGAAGATAGAGGAGAAAGTGAGACAGCAGGGGGCAGGGAGGTGCGGGGAGGAGGGGAAGCCAGGGGTGGTAGGTCCCATGGCTTCACACAGCAGCTCTCCAATCATGTTCTCTTCCTCCTCAGCTGCAGGAAAGAGCATGAACCTTGCCTGGCTGTCGTCTCATGTTTCCTCTAGGAAAGCTGAGTCTCAGTGACGTGCAAGGTGGCACTGCCACAGAACCCTTGCAGTCTGACTTAGGTTCCTTGCTCTGACACTATGAGAGTTTCTCTAAGTGCCGTCTTGGGGCTGCCTGCATCAGACTCTCTGGGACCCTCATTTCCCATGCAGTTTCCAGGACTCTGGACCAGGCTCATTGATCAGTCTGGTGTGGGCAGAGTTCTGGGAACTCACAGCAGTGAGCAGGAGCATTGAGAGGGTGATCTATACCTTCTACCTGGCTCTGTCCTTGGCCAGATTGCTATTTCTCCTTGGCCTTCAGTTTCCTGTCTTATAAAATGAACAGGGTGGGGCCACTTCTAGTTCAAATATTTTGAGTGTAATTCATCTTTAAACCCAGAAACTCACTGTGGCTTGCCAACGCCTCCTCTCCGTATGTCTGCTTATCTTTAAATATCGGTGTTGTGGAGATGACTGGATGGATAGCTCAATTCACAAAAATTCAGTTTTCCTGGAAACCTAGAGGAATTAGAACAGAGAGGTGGCGATGTACAGGGAAGTCGAGGATCAGTCTCATCCTCTGCAGCTTTTATTCACCAACTTCCTGGCACTGCAAAGACAAGGCGCTCATGCCTTGGTAACTCACTTTTCTTTTGCAATCCAAGCTGGTAATCGTCTCTCCAAGGTTTGAACTCTGCTTCCTACACTTCTTGGCTCCAACCCATTTTTAGTTTGTGCTGGTTTCGCTTTTCTGCTGTTTTTCTTTGGAGAACAGAAAGTCGAGACAAGCGGCATCGGCCAAACGGGTCTGTGCACTTGGCGGAGAATTTTCCAGATAAGAGGACCTGAAGGACTTCCCGTGGGCGGGAGGGAAGTTGCACACTCCACCGGGAATCGCACCGGGAAATCACTTCTTGCTTTTAGAACAGCAGCGAGGCTCTGGGGACGGCGCTGGGAGACTCCGAGGAGTGGAACTGGGCCCGGTGAGGCCACGCAGCCGGGTTGCTTCTGCCTAAGAGCTGGCCCTGTGCCCTGCTCGGTTCTCCCTGCTCCGGGTGTGAGATCCCCAGGAGCTGCTGGGCAAATGGCCCGGTAGGAGAACGAAGCCACCAGGTGTCAGAGCAGAATCCGGCCTGGGACAGCGGCGGAGCTGGACAGGTAAGGAGCGTCTCTGCTCCTGTGGTCTGCCCTCATTGAGGCCACACCTCTGGGCACCTGTGTCCTTGGGTGACCCTCTTAGGGCCCCTTCCTCTCCGCCTGCTCTTCCTGTGTCTGGCCGTGCTGTGTGTGCTGGGAACTCTGTGTGCCATGCCTTGCCACGAGTGAGCTCAGCTGGGCCGGGGGGAAGACAAGATGTAGACAGAGATCAGACAACCCGAGTGATCCTTCAGGATTTCCTTTGCAGGAGAGATTTGTTGACTTTTTATAGATTAATTCTCCCACCTCTGAGCGGAAAACACTTTGGGGATGAGAGCCCTGTGAACTCTTCAGGGAAGTGGCTGTAGCTGGTCCCATGAAAAGAGCCAGGGGGCCGTGGGTGGCATGTGGCCTGCAGGGAAGCCTGGCAGTGGAGTGTCAGGGCTTAGGAGCCAGGTAGGCTCCGTTTGAATGTTCTAGAAAGGAGAAGATACTGTGGGCAGATAGTGTGGGGAAACCATGTCTTCCCAGGCTTTGTGGAAAACCAGCCAAGTCCTATCACTGTACCTCTTTCTCTCTTTCTAAGCACAATGCAGTGGGATTTTTAGTTTTGAACTATAGCAGTAATACATGAATATATTGTTACTATATCAGGCTATATCCTAACCATTTTCGTGCTCTACAGTCCCAAATATACTCATTCCTTTCCCAAAGATGATCCTGTCAGTTTCTTGCAGTTCTAGTTCAAGGGCCAAGTTGTTTTTTTTGGGGGGAGGGGTTGGTCTTTTTGAGACAGATTATCGCTATGCAGTTCTGGCCTTGAACTCACTCTGTAGGTCAGGCCGATCTCGAACTCACAACATTCTCCCTGACACAGCCTCCGTAGTGCTGGGATTACAGGCAGGCATGTGCCACCACGCCCGACTTTCACGGGCTAAGTTTCTGCCCTCATTGTCAAAACAAGCTGAGCTCAGGCCAAAGCATAACTCCTGTGACGTCACCCTAAGGACGCCGACCTCAGGAGGAAGGATAGAATGATAACCCTAGGGAGGTCTGAAAGAAGTTTACCTACTGTTATTATTTCCATGTTGGTTTTGGTCTTGGCTAATAATAATGATACTAACAATATCTCAAGGGTGAAACTGGGCTTTTCATTGGAAGGTCACTGAAGGTAGCTTTCCGTTCTGAAAGGAGAAGACAATAAAAATACAGAAAAAAAAACTGAGCAATTGATCTATCAGCTGGTGAAGTGGTTGCCCCGGGAAGACAGGATGAAGGTGAGAGAGGGCCCCTTTTTTGTTTGTTTTCCATCTCTTTGAGACTCCTGTAGAAAGGGGCCCATCTCCAGCACCACTTACTGGTGAGAGGCAAGTGCGTGGAGAAACTCCTATAAACATGTTGATAGGGGGCACGGAGGCAGGCTTTGGGAAGAAGGTACAAAGCAGTGACTAGAGACACCTACTACTGCTGCCACATGTCTTCTCCCTTCTCCAAGCTTCCTCCTCTCCACACTACCCAGCTCCTTGGTCCTTCTGGTGCGTGAGATTTGGGGCAAGCATCTTGCTACTCTTTGCCTGCCTTTCTCTTTCCTCCAGGTCCACGGCTAAGTGGCCGAGTGGATTAATCATTTTCCCTACACCCCTGTGGGCAGCCCATGATAGATACCACCACCAAGACCCTGGGCCTGGTGCTTGCTTCCCTTCCTGAGCAGTGATGACACGCTCAGCAGTGATGACACGTGTGACTGAGCAATGTCACTCGCTGTTCTATGTGGTCCTGGGGAATTTCAGAGCAGTCAGAAGCAACACCCAGGATACCATATGCTCCGGTGGCTAAGGTTGCTCTGCTTCCTGCAAAGCAACTTCAGTCCCATGTGTTGATAACTTTCTAGTTCTGGAAAGGCCGCTGTGCAGCATCCCCTTCCCAAGGTATGGGACACACAAGCGAGAGAGACAGCCGTGGCTTTCTTTGCCCACTTTCACATTAAATCTTTTTGGGCACTGAGATGTGAAATTCAGATCACTGCTTTTTCAGTCATATTCTTGGTCTGAAAAGTGAGGAGGGAAGCAATGCAGACTAGAGAACTGATATGACTGGTGGATTGCCAGCTCTGCAGGGTAGTGGATCCCTCAGGGGTCTTGCAGGTGCATCAAACTCTTGCCTGGTGCGGGTGTTTGCAGACTCAGACAGCTGGGCGTGCCTACTGACCCCAGAGAACCCAAAGCAACTTCTGGCAGCTTTGCCAGAATAAAGCTGAATCATCTCTGAGGAAAAGGCAGGGTAGTGATCCCATAACCAGGGAGTCTTGCTTCAGGAGACGCAGAGGCCAGATTGAGAAGGGATGCTTGCTCATGATTGGGAGTTGGGGCTGGAGGTGCCAGGGCTGCAGCATCTCTGCTACAATCCCAGCTGCTCTGGTTGTCTGAGGAACGGACGTTGGCCCTGTGGGGATGGAGAGGGCATTCTCAGCTTCTGCACGAAGGAACTGTCTTTCCCGGGTGGACTGGACAGCACACTCTTCACTGGGGCTATGTTAGCTTCCTCCACTGTAGACCTTACAGAATCTGATAAAATATCTTACGTAAACAGGATAGGATGCCATGGGGCTCATATATCTTACTCGGCCTGTGTTGACATCCAATCCCAAGGCTAAGGCCAGGAAGGACAGCTCACTGCCCTTTACAGGATCTGCCACTTTCTGAATGGACAATAAATCAAGCTTCTTTCTCCTCACAAAATATGCCCCTAATGCCATTTCCAAAAGCAGCAGAAAAATTTTCTAAAAGTTTGTCTCGCTAGGAGAATACAACATGAAGCTAGGAGAATACAACACGAACTTCTCTGTGTTAGCCTCAGTTTCCCCACAACGTACAAGTTTCGACACAGAGCAGGTGCCCTAAGGTGGCTCCTAAGTCAAACACAAGCATTAGGTGAGGGGCACCTTGAATTGTGAGCTGGCATGTCCATTCTCATCGTCTGACTCTGGTCATGATGGTTAAGAGAACTGGAATTTACCTACTTGCTAAAAGATGATGGTAAATGTGAAACCTTTGAAACCACAGCCTATGGATGGGGTTCCCGGTGTCTGAGAGGCTTGCTCATATTAAACCTCAGGGGTAATCCCTGAGTTACCTAAGACTTTAATAGGAGGCAAAGTGCAAGCAGTGAGAATAGATGCTACATATCGAGGACCCGCTCTGTGCCCGACACCATGCTTGGTGCTTTATAAGGTGGTTAATGCGCTTGTTATTCCAATCATCCTATACCTTAGGCGCAACTATGGCAACAGCTAATTCACAAAGATGAAGTTAGTGACCAAGGCAAGAGGCTAGCGAGTCCTGGCATCAGAAGGATCCGCATGTGTAGTTACTGAACTGGGCTACAAATCCCACAGCCAGGCAGCAGGGCCTGAGATGAGAGGCTGAGAAGTACAGTGTATTTCAGAGAAAGGTGGGGTGCAGGAGTAGTCAGGGTGCTGTGAGGGTCAGGCGTGTAGATTCTGGTAGCCACTTGGTGTGTGACCTCGGGGGTGGTGAAGTGCCCAGCCTTGGAGTCCTCACCTGTAAAATGGAGAAAATGATGGGTTTTCTTAACGTAGGATTATGAGTCTCAGCGAGTGCTTAGCTTAGTGGAAAGCGCTTGGTGAATCACAGCAGCCATTGTTATTAAATGAATGAACAGGCCAGAAATGCTGAAGGGGCCCGGAAGGGAGGCATAGAGCATTCCAGTCCCCAGGAGTCTGAGAGGAAGCTGAGAGGTGACCATCAGTGTAACGAATACTTACAGTTAATATTTGTGACAGATTTTGCAAAAGAAGACACAATCAAAAGTCTATGAATGGGTCAGCTGTTCATATTCAGTGCCACCAGAGAAATAGGTGGCAGAGCTGGCTCTTCCTTGGATGGTGGCATTGAGGTAGCTAGGGAATTGGCCTGGGCATCTCAGGGATGGCAGAGTTTAAAGTGTGTCAATCAGACATGGTGGTCACATAGGAGAACAGTGTCCCAGGCAGGCCCAAGAGCAGCTTTGTGTGGGCATTGGTGAGGAAGGAAAACAGGGGGCCAAGTTCAGGATGATGGTGCCTGGCCAGGTATGGGGTTCATGGCTGCACCGTGTGGTGACCAGGAAGGAGACAAAGGCTCAGGGGTGTCAGTTGGAGATCGTGTCCAGGAACAGGACAGCGTGGGAGTCTAGGGGTCAGAGGGCAGAGAAGGGCTGGAGACAGCACTGGGAAGAAGACATACTTGGTCCTAGACCCTGGGGAAATAGCACAGTTGGAAATGTGCACCTGATATTTAGCAAGGATTGGGTAGAAATAAAGTTTTATGAATATCATACAAGTTGATAGCAAAAACTATAGATGGGAACATGCTCCCTAAAAGAGAGGGGTCAGAGAGAGAAGCCAAGGACCCAAGGACCAGGGAGACATATTTGGCAGGGGTCATGGTGTATAAGAGAAGCAGATGGAGGTGCAGAGAAACAGGAACTGAGGGAAGAGAGGGGCAGGAGAGGAGAAGGCTGAACCCAGAGAGAAAAGGGGTGACCTGGGAGAGGGGTGATGGGGCACAGCCACGAATAGCTATGCCAGACTTTGAGGACAAAGAATGGTGAGGGATATAAAAGGAGGGGATGTGAGTCGAAGATGTCACTTCCCAGGGTA